GTAGTTAGTGTCGAAGGGAATTCTCTGTCAATGACTCACTTGGTAACGGAGAGATACACTACTACTTAATCGTGGTTCGCAGCGAAAAAATCAGCACAAGCCTGAGCCGGTGAATTAGAACGACGATCAGTCCCAGTTTCCCGTAAAGAGTTTACTTTTCGTGTTTCTCTTACAACGTCCGTGGAGGAGAATACTCTTATGAGACTTCGTGACAACTGTCTGTTGCTTAGTCCAACTAGGGAGGCCTCCGCCGGCGTTCCTCCCCCACTCTCGTCTCAGTCCCACCAGCGGAGTCCGCCCCCGGGTCTCCTGCGCCTCCCACCTGGCCTTCCCCGGCGCCCGCCCTTGCCCGCCCTCCGTCCCGTCCCTCGCCCCCCCCGGCCGCCCCCCCCCCGCCCCTCCCGCACCGCCCCGCCCCCCCCGCCCGCCCCCACACAACACACACACACACACACACACACACACACACACACACACACACACCACACACCACACAACACACACACACACCACACACACACCACGACACTATTAGTGTAAGGAGACGAGCTAACTAAGTTCGGAAGTTTTATAAAGGATGCATAGTACTCAATAATAAGGGACTCCTACTTTGCACCTGACCCAAAGTAGAGTACACAAGCGCCAAGAGAAGTACAGACGTCGACTATTCCTGAGTCCACATACCCTTTAGTTTGTAATGGGTATACAGACTATTTGTGGACTTATAACGCGCCTCGCTACATGACAATCGACTCCATAATCACTAAGCGCTATAGATGTGGTTAACCTAAAACCTATGTTATTAGTTAACATTACATCTTTTTGTACTGAGAATGACAGAAATTTTGGTCCTCTTTTGTGACGCATAAATGTTACAATCGTCTCTTTACATAAGGGACTCATACATACTATAACTCATATAACGGACCGCAATTCGACTATTTCCGCTAAAATCGAGGAGTAGCTCCACTCATGACGAACCCGACCAGCACACTCTCACCAGAGCACAAACTCGTTTTCGCAGGTACGACGAAGACGTCGGAAGTCCAAAGGAGGAGCGGACGAGGTCCGCAGTCCATACACAACACAATCGGTGGAAGAGTGACACCGCGAACGAGTCCCGTAGCATGAGGAGAAATCGGGAGGTCGACACAGGTATCGGCACAGCATCTCTAAACAAAGCTGATGGAGACTACTCGAGAGAGAGTACTGGACCAATCCTGTGGTGTTAACGTATATTAATCCGGGTGGTATCGTAAAGACGAGGCGATTAATCACTTGGTAGGTCTAGAGAGTCCAGAAGAGTACTGACGAAGCACAGGGCGTCTCAGTATGATTTGTACCCAGCTCCAATAATACGAGGGTCTATAGCACTTGTTTGAGGTCTGCGGACCGTCCAGGAACGTTGAGAATGATAAAAGTTAAGGTCCGACTTCTGAAAGAAACCACGCGACGAGAAATTAACCAATAGAGGACAACAACATAGAAAATAGTACATGGGACACATACAAGTACAAATTGCACTAGATAGCAAAGAATTATCTTCCACCCATCCCCATGCAAACGCATCGCTGGCCGAGACTCGCTATGTGAAATAACATACTAGTAAGTACCTTACGAGGACTTATTGTAGGCGGCTATCGGTTACTATAGATTCCGCAAGTTTCTAATTTAAAGTGTCAAGAATTGTTTTCCTATTAATTTACTGAATCAACTAATTGTAACGCTATTCATTCCTTAGACTAACTTTTGGACCAAAAAATATAAAAATAATCTTATGTTCCACTTTTATTCTTCTGTGTTTTATATTTTTCCCCTTTAGTTATTTATTTGTGTATGGGTTAGCATTGTGATGTTATTTCTACAGTATTGTTGCATTTCCCATGTTATGTCTTGTGTTGTTTTGAACTCAGGTAAAACTCTGGTTTCCTCAATAAACTTGTTTTTATATCTTTTGTGTATTTAGTTTGAGAGAATATTGTCCAGATGATTTTTGGGGTAATACTCCTTAATGTTCATCTTCCCTGCTGGCTGTTCACTTCTGGATAATAAGTGCCTTAAATGACATGCGAGTACATCTGATGGATTCTTGAGCGTGGTACCTGTCTGAGTGCCTCCAACTCCTCACTGGCCACCACTCTCTCTGAGGAGGTGTTCTTCAGTCGTGCCTCTGCTGCCTCCAGCTCTGTCTGCAGTTTGTCCAGCTCCTTGATCACCTGGTCCCTCTCGCTCATGATGAGGCGATACTCGTTGAACACAGAGTCCCTCTCCTCCTTGTACTTCTCGCAGTCTTTGGCCGACTTCAGCTGCAGGTTCTTGTAGCGCGTCACCTCCGACTGCAGCCGCTCCATCTCTCTCTGCAGCTCCTTGTTCTGCGCTGAGGACTTGTTCAGCTCCTGCTGCACTGAATCAAACCTGAGAGAGCGGAGGAAGACGGAGAGCGTTACAGTGAACACGTTTATGAGATGCCAATATAAAATGATGTACTGGCTGCGGCTTGAATGTAGCTCATATCAGCGCTCTATCCAGTGTGTGTGTGTGTGTGTGTGTGTGTGTGTGTGTGTGTGTGTGTGTGTGTGTGTGTGTGTGTGTGTGTGTGTGTGTGTGTGTGTAGTATACTACT